TTAAAATTTTAAATACGTTTGCAATATCCCATTTTAGTAGCAAAGTGTGAGCTTTAGAAAGAGTACCAATGGCAATTGAACACCTGGATAGGCAAGGCAGAGGGCAAAAACTCATTGTGGTCTGTGGTTAATGTAGTTTTACAGTTTTTAGCGGTGTTTTTGCAGAGGGCACAGTAAAATCTAGAGAGTGATTCGCTGTAGCCTGCCTCTGTGCGTCTCATCATCTGAGTCCCATCATTTTAGACACAGTCTTAAATATAATGTAACCGAGCATTTCATTCATGGGCATCTGTGCGCTAGACTATTATACGTCTCCTATGCTGTAGAAAATGGGATCATAAACTATGTACTACATTAACTTTGTTTGTATAAGGTGATTTATCCAATTTTCCTTTCATGTATTTCTAGAGTCCAGGAGAATGTGGCCAATCTATGCGTTTTATTTTATGTCACTATTACTTTCAGGCAAACGATATGTATGGAATAGGTACTGTGCATGTGATATGATATCCATCAGTTCCCTTGATATCAAGGAAATATTACAAATAAATGTAAAGATTCAGCAGAGGTTTTGGTTCTCTTTGCTTTACTTTTTAACTCCTTGAGTGCTTGATATAACTAGATTTAGCTTAAATTTTTTTTTCCAAACAAGTAAATGTGTAACTCCTATAGGATTCTTTGAGTTTTCAGGCCAATATCCAACAGGCTTTTATCACGTTTGCTCTGAGCAACCTCAGGAGGCACAAACCTTTAAACTATAAATGATTTCATTATACATGAATACATAAATCAAAAATATTCATCAGAGTTGTGTTTCAAATTAGAATATATTGTAAGTTAAAAAATTATAATTTTTTAAACAGCATTTACAGCCCTGGCTAGTTTGGCTCAGTTGTTTGAGCGTCATCTTGCGGACTGAAGGGCTGAGGGTTCGGTTCCTGGTGAAGGGCATGTACCTTGGCGGTCCCTTCAACCAGTTGATGTGTCGCTCTCACATCAATGTTTCTCTCTCTCCCTCCTTCCACTCTCCCTAAAAATCAATGGAGAGAATGCCCTTAGGTAAGGATTAGCCAAAAATAAAAAATAAGATAAATAATAAAATAAAATAAAAAGCATTTACAGTTAGTAGGATTAACATTTATCAACTAGACTAACTTATGGCCATAATGCCAAAAAATTAGTAATTTGCTACTTACCTGTGCTAAAAATGTCACAGCTGGATGTTTTTATAAAACTTTGCTATTACCTGCTAGGACAGAAAGGTGGGCTTGAGCCACTGAAGAGAGTCAAACAGCCAAGTTCACGTGAGAATGTTTAGATTTTCATACGTTCCTATGATCATACCTAAAAACCAGATGACATTTCCCTATAGCGCCACGGTGTTACCACACTAATTGAGAATACGGAAATTCACTTAAAAACGTCCGCCTGTCAGACGTTCATTTTAAATATTTTTCATAAACTGCATGTTGAAAAGTCTGTCTTTCCAGAAACACCCTCCACGCCATTGGCACCTCCCATCCTCACGGTGCCTGACAGTCCTCAGGCCTCAGTGTGACCTTCACAGTAGCCTTGTGAGCTGGGCGGGAGCGCAGGGGTCATTGTCCTCAGGTGACAGGTGGGGAAACTGAGGCTCGGAGATGGGGCTGCTGAAATCGGGCTGCAAATACCACACCTGCCTGTTTTTTGTAATTAAAGGAAAATCTATTCCTCATTTGGACCTGACCTACGTATTTCTGTAGCCCATGCACAGGAGCTCCATCTCCCTCGAAGGTCCTTAGCCAAACAGGACCTGGGCAGACGAGGCTGCGTGTTACAACTGCAGAAACACGGCGTCATCTCTCCTTCCTAATGTAGCCTTTGGCATCAGCTCAAAGAAAAGAAAAAAAAAAAGGCATGCAATAAACAGGATGAGCACTTTACCAAACAAAATAAACTCCTGAAATATACTTATTTTTAGATCGGTGCATTGAATAACTTATTTATTAGACAGTAAAACCAAGTGACAGCCTGCGTGTAATAAAGCTGTAAATACAAACAGATACCTGTATTCCATATTTGTAAGCAATAAAAATAACAAGGGCCCGTATATCTTTCAATCTCCGAGGTACTATATTGTCCTCTAATGAGGTTGCTGTTTGTTTTAAATGGAACAGAAGGTGAGGGAAATGAGAGGAGGTCTACCTCGCTGAGGGCGACAAAAGAGACAAATTATTAGGCAGCTCCTGCCGTTTGCAAGCAACGCTCCTGCTCAGAAGTGTCCCTACTGATCACACAGCCAGACACCCCACGCGCCTTTGGGTTGATGTTTCTGGCTATTTCCCACCCCCTCACAAAATGCAGCAGCATTTTCATTCCGGTTTAATCCCCCATCCTATTGCGCTCTGCACCCAAGGCCGGTGAGACGCGCACCCGAGTCCCACTGCGGTGTTCACGTGTACAGTCCCCACAGCGTTTCTCTTTGGAAAATGAGATCCAATGCTGCTCCGTCCTCACACATACCTTACAAACAACGGGCTCTGTCTTCAAATGGCAGCTTCTTTTCCTCCCTGGCCTCTGGCTGAAATGTTGGATTGGAACTTGGACCACGTCGATGATTATATAGATAATACAAGCAGACTGCCTGTCCAGAGAGCCATTTGAATGCTGCCTTTTTTCATGTATCCCTTCAAATAATTGTCTTGTTGAAAAATATCATGTACAAAATGAACTGTTACGTGTGCGAATCCATCTGACCCGTAGCTAGATCTGCGTGTGTGTGTGTGTGTGTGTGTGTGTGTGTGTGTGTGCGCGTTTAAATAGGCAGGGTATGGATTTACCTTCTGCAAGTCCTTGACCCTTGGCCGATACTTACACACGAATTTCGAGTTGGGAGACGATGGGAAGGGAGAAGAACAAGCCAGACATCAAACTCATTTATTCTGAATCTTAAATTAGGACTTTTTATCATCAATATTTTGGTTACATTGTTACACAAAGGACAAATTAACATCCGGTTTGAGGTCTCTTCTTTGACTGCTTTGGGATTAGTGACATCTCCTTGGCATAGGAATCCTGTACCCATCAACGCTCAGCTGGGTTTTAACAATATTGTTGTACAAGGTGCCAAAACAGAGAGGATTTGAGAAACTGCTCCCAGGGTGCCTCTGCTTTAACCACTGAGACTCCAGGTGGCTTCCTGCCCGGTGCACACAGGGGGGTGTCCACACCCCTCTTTCCCGGGTGGGTCAGAAGGGATCCCAGGGAGAGTGGCTGGTCCTGCCTTCTTTGAAGCACCTGATCCCAGGTGAGCTCCTGCAGAGTGGACCCCAATCAATGAACCAGGCTGCTGGGAAGACCCAGGTCACTCAGCAAAGAAGCTGCATACTCGGGAGACCCGAGCACACAGCGCCTGCTCTCATCTCCCGTGATCCAGGCCACCCAGGAACGTCAGGTTCTTAGAGTATTCCAGAGAGTAATTTTTTTAAAAAAATCCAGGTTGTTCATTCTAAAGGTGCATCTGAGATTAGAATCTCTTTGAAAGAATCCACGAAATTGTCCATTGGTCATTTTCACCTTGGGACGCAGGTGCCTTTCGTTTGGTTTGGTCTCATCCAGGAACTCAGCACACATTTCTCTCCCTCAGCCCAGCATGAGGAATAAAAGCGGGGGTGAGGAGGGAGAGTTGAGCATGGGAAGCAAAGTAAAGCTTTTCGAGGGGAAAAACACACACACACAAACAGTACAGAACAAAAGTCCAGTCCGATCGTGCAAAACTCGCGTCTCCAGATAAAGCACTTCTGACAGGTCCACAAAGCCCCCTCCCCTCCCAAGTCCTTCCCTCCTCCCGGGAAACACACAGAACGAAAGCGGAGCCATTCTTTTTCTTAAGGCTGGACAGACACACAGAAGACACATTTCACGGACTGGCCGGCGGGCAGCGAGCTGGGGGCTCTGCGCTGAGCTCTGAGCGCGGCCAGCCCCCTGCGGTCCATCCTGAGGTGTGGGCACTCCTCCCTCGGGGCGACAACCAATACAGCGTCCAAACAGAAGCAGAAGGGGCAGTGGCCCCAACAATGAAATCCCAGATCGACGTTACAATCACAGGTACAAACTGCTCAAATCCATAGTGTCATTTCTCCTGAAGACCTTGTCGTCTAAAGCTAATTAGAGGCCAGGTTCCCGAGGAATGGTCTAGAGCGAAAGAAAATACTGGAGATCTGGAAGGAAACCATTCTACCGAGACGGTCCGACGGAGCTCTGGAAACAAGTCGTCCCGATCTGCCAAGTCCAGGGGTTGGGGAGGGCGGGCTCCTGGGTCCAGCGTGCAGCTTCCCCGCCATCCCGGGCTCTGCGTTTATAGAGGGAACACCAAGAAGCCGGAGAAGGTGGAGTACTTCCAGCCCCCCATGAGGTTGCCCCGCTCCAGCTTGAGGTGCACCTTGTCCTCTCTCTCCATCAGCAGCAGCACCCCGTTGCTGGCCGCTTCTCTGGTCACGTCCTGGTCCCCTGCGAATGCTGAGATCACTGGGTAGCCGTTCTGCATTAAACTGACCTACAACGCAGAGGGTGGGGCTCAGCAGGCCACGCAGGGCCCCCCTGTTCTCACACCTGTTCTCTCCTCCCCCCAGCCCTCCCCCCAGCATTTCCAAGGAGCCCGCCCCAGAAGCCTGGCCCAGAGGCCTCGGCTGGTCCCCAGCCCCCCTCCCGGACTCAAAGAGGGGGTGCTGGGTCTGCAGCCACAGGAGATGAGTCACCCAAAGCTGAAAGAGTCCCGTTTCCACAGCTACCCACCTGGATGGTCTGTCTGTTGTACACTTTGACCACGTGGAAGCTGAAGCTATAAATCCCTTTTCTGGGCGCTACAAATATNGTGTGTGTGTGTGTGTGTGTGTGTGTGTGTGTGTGCGCGTTTAAATAGGCAGGGTATGGATTTACCTTCTGCAAGTCCTTGACCCTTGGCCGATACTTACACACGAATTTCGAGTTGGGAGACGATGGGAAGGGAGAAGAACAAGCCAGACATCAAACTCATTTATTCTGAATCTTAAATTAGGACTTTTTATCATCAATATTTTGGTTACATTGTTACACAAAGGACAAATTAACATCCGGTTTGAGGTCTCTTCTTTGACTGCTTTGGGATTAGTGACATCTCCTTGGCATAGGAATCCTGTACCCATCAACGCTCAGCTGGGTTTTAACAATATTGTTGTACAAGGTGCCAAAACAGAGAGGATTTGAGAAACTGCTCCCAGGGTGCCTCTGCTTTAACCACTGAGACTCCAGGTGGCTTCCTGCCCGGTGCACACAGGGGGGTGTCCACACCCCTCTTTCCCGGGTGGGTCAGAAGGGATCCCAGGGAGAGTGGCTGGTCCTGCCTTCTTTGAAGCACCTGATCCCAGGTGAGCTCCTGCAGAGTGGACCCCAATCAATGAACCAGGCTGCTGGGAAGACCCAGGTCACTCAGCAAAGAAGCTGCATACTCGGGAGACCCGAGCACACAGAGCCTGCTCTCATCTCCCGTGATCCAGGCCACCCAGGAACGTCAGGTTCTTAGAGTATTCCAGAGAGTAATTTTTTTAAAAAAATCCAGGTTGTTCATTCTAAAGGTGCATCTGAGATTAGAATCTCTTTGAAAGAATCCACGAAATTGTCCATTGGTCATTTTCACCTTGGGACGCAGGTGCCTTTCGTTTGGTTTGGTCTCATCCAGGAACTCAGCACACATTTCTCTCCCTCAGCCCAGCATGAGGAATAAAAGCGGGGGTGAGGAGGGAGAGTTGAGCATGGGAAGCAAAGTAAAGCTTTTCGAGGGGAAAAACACACACACACAAACAGTACAGAACAAAAGTCCAGTCCGATCGTGCAAAACTCGCGTCTCCAGATAAAGCACTTCTGACAGGTCCACAAAGCCCCCTCCCCTCCCAAGTCCTTCCCTCCTCCCGGGAAACACACAGAACGAAAGCGGAGCCATTCTTTTTCTTAAGGCTGGACAGACACACAGAAGACACATTTCACGGACTGGCCGGCGGGCAGCGAGCTGGGGGCTCTGCGCTGAGCTCTGAGCGCGGCCAGCCCCCTGCGGTCCATCCTGAGGTGTGGGCACTCCTCCCTCGGGGCGACAACCAATACAGCGTCCAAACAGAAGCAGAAGGGGCAGTGGCCCCAACAATGAAATCCCAGATCGACGTTACAATCACAGGTACAAACTGCTCAAATCCATAGTGTCATTTCTCCTGAAGACCTTGTCGTCTAAAGCTAATTAGAGGCCAGGTTCCCGAGGAATGGTCTAGAGCGAAAGAAAATACTGGAGATCTGGAAGGAAACCATTCTACCGAGACGGTCCGACGGAGCTCTGGAAACAAGTCGTCCCGATCTGCCAAGTCCAGGGGTTGGGGAGGGCGGGCTCCTGGGTCCAGCGTGCAGCTTCCCCGCCATCCCGGGCTCTGCGTTTATAGAGGGAACACCAAGAAGCCGGAGAAGGTGGAGTACTTCCAGCCCCCCATGAGGTTGCCCCGCTCCAGCTTGAGGTGCACCTTGTCCTCTCTCTCCATCAGCAGCAGCACCCCGTTGCTGGCCGCTTCTCTGGTCACGTCCTGGTCCCCTGCGAATGCTGAGATCACTGGGTAGCCGTTCTGCATTAAACTGACCTACAACGCAGAGGGTGGGGCTCAGCAGGCCACGCAGGGCCCCCCTGTTCTCACACCTGTTCTCTCCTCCCCCCAGCCCTCCCCCCAGCATTTCCAAGGAGCCCGCCCCAGAAGCCTGGCCCAGAGGCCTCGGCTGGTCCCCAGCCCCCCTCCCGGACTCAAAGAGGGGGTGCTGGGTCTGCAGCCACAGGAGATGAGTCACCCAAAGCTGAAAGAGTCCCGTTTCCACAGCTACCCACCTGGATGGTCTGTCTGTTGTACACTTTGACCACGTGGAAGCTGAAGCTATAAATCCCTTTTCTGGGCGCTACAAATATACTGGAGGCAAGGTCAAAATGGTTGCCGATATTTACTAACACCTGGAAAAGAGAGGAACACACACAAACATAGCAAGTCCCCCCCAGGCACTGGGTGGACCAGACTGGCCCAGCAGTGACCCGGGTCCCCCGTGGGCTGCCAGGCCACCTACCCAGGGGGAGGCACTACTGCAGTCAAAATTCCCCACACATAGGGGGACGTGGCTTCAAAGGTATTCTAATGGATGGCAATACAGACAGAGTTTTTAAAGTATATTCACTTGTGAGTTGAAAAAGTGGGTGCTAATTCTGTACATTGGGGGGCAGGGCAGAGAGAAAGGAAGACAAACTGGAAGTTGAATCCGTTCCTAGGTTTGAAGGACGGTGGGGACTTCAGCATGAAGCTTTGACAAAAATTAGAAATTAGAGGGCCGTACCGAGTGGGTAGAGAATGGGCTACGGGGCCAGAGGCCAACTAAATGAGATCACGTCCCCAGATGAAGCTTGGGACCCAACTCCCGCGCTCCAGGGCCGAATGGACTGTGTGAGGTGCTGGTCTTCACGTTCCCCCAGCCCCGGCACGCACCCTGGCGGCACACAGTAGGTGCTCAATAATGGCAGCTGAGTAAAAGAGCTCAGGCCATAAACACGGGCTGTGCCTGCTTCCCTCCTCTCTAAGTAACGTTTGTTTCCTCGGATGAGCTACGACGTCATGCCATGCGCCTGAATAAATAGCAGGGGGTCCGCATGGCAGTGTGGACACAGTGGCTCAGCCCTGGGAATCCTGTCACGCGCCAGAATAATGGCCCATCCAGCCATGGGAAGCGAGGTCACATGGCCCTGCAGGTGGGGTTCCTCAGACCCAGGGGGAGGGGAGCACCACATCATCAGCAGAACCTGGAGAGCAGAGGGTCCCCCGTCACAGCCCGGTTCTTTTTCAGATGCTGAGGACAGAATTTGGCCGCTGCCTCGATCCTGCCCCCCACTCCTGCGCACACACAAATGCACAACTCGATGAAGATACTAGAATGGCCTGTCTGGTGTTCCGGGCTTTCAGACAAACAGCCAGCAACAACAACACAGCCCCGGACTAGAGAGCCTGTCATCTGCTCAGAAAATAAATGTCAGCGGAATACGTTTTGCGGTGATTTCTTAGGCACTCATTAGAGATGAACAGCATGCAGTTCCCAGAGCGATGCCAACTGCTCCTATGGCCACAACTGCTGCCCAACTGCCTGCCGGGACGACTGGGAAGCCAGCCTGCACCGGAGCGGGGCGCCGCCCCATCCCCCCAGTCCGTGGGGCTCACACAGACACGCGGGCACTGCGGGTAAGGGTGGCGTGCCGTCCTGCTCGCTGTCTCCCCAGGACTATGCTCTCCGGGGGTAGGATGTGCTCCACTCAAGCCCTTAAGCGGCTTCTTCCAACTCTTTACCTCAACTCTTTCACCTCAGTTTTAAATTCAGGAAACTGGCAAGTTCGGGGCCCTGCTGTTGACGAAAGAACTCCCAGCCAGCTCCGAAAAGCAGTCTGTTTCTCCCTGACCCGGGCCCAGGGGCGCCCTTCAGCCTGCCCGGCCATAGGTGTCCCAGCCATGAAATGAGGATCCTGCTGCTTACCCTGCCCCTTGTCACCGTTTCCTTGACACGCAAATTAAACGAGGGACGTAAAAAGGCGGTGAAACTATTTGTAGGGCATTGGGTGGCGAAGTATAGTAACATAACAAAGAACTTATTAACTCAATAAATAGTTACCAACCACCTATTTCCTGTTGTCTCCTTTATTTGAACATAATTAAATATTTGTATGTCTTGTAAATAAAAACAGATTGAAGACAGACTCCCTCCCACCACCATCCCCAGATCCCACACATCTTCAAGTATGTACATGCTCCCTAACAAGAATGAAAATAAATGAGCTCGCTGGCCTAAAATGAGGCAAGGGGGGTGTGCGGGGTGGTGGACACTCGGGTGTCAGAGCCGGCTAATGCAGAGGGGAGTCTGTGTGCAGCTGGCCCTGTGTGCCGTCACAGCCAAGAGGGCTCCATCCCTGGGAAGCCTTTTGTGGAAAGGAAGGGACTGATGAGTTCAAGTTTGGAAAGCACTATTATGCTTTCAACTTGTTTCTGAAAAACAACAGAAACCAAGGGGGGGGGGGCAAAGGAAGATCACACCCTCTGGTCCTGAGCAGCCACAGCCCAGAGAAGGGGTTGCCAAGGCAGGATCACGCCCACAACCCTCCGGCTCTGACCCAGCTGGGGGAAGTTAAGTGGGTTCGGGCAACTCAAGCCACTGATCTTATTTTAATTCCTGTAACCTCGCTATACACTGACCTACCGTACATATAGTATTTGGAGGTTACCTCCTGTGTATTGTTTTCACTACATGCTGCATTTACATAACACACCCTATTTTGTTTTGTATTTATATAACCATCCCTGCTATTTCCCTCCCGCTCCCGCTCACTTATTTTTCTTGAAGATAAGCATGTCTCCCCAGTCCTTTCCGAAATAAGCAATAGGTCCATCTTTTCCGAGGCCCACTGAGGCCTCCCCAGAGCCCCTCCTGGAGCGCCTGGAGTTTCAAAGGCTCAGTCTCCGAGTTGGCCCCCTGGGTGACCGAAGCCCATGCACCACAAGCGACAGCCCCACCGCGGCTTCAAGGAAAACCCGCAGTTCCCTCTTGGGAAACACAGTTCTGAGCTCAGCTCTAAGGGGCCCTCCGTCACCCAAGTGCCCCCCGAGCTGACAGTTACAAAGCAGCTGCGGTGTGAGGAGGGGGACGGGCCAGGAGAGCCTCCTAGAAACAGGAGCGAGAAGGGCGAGGGGCAGGGCGGGGGCGCCGGGAGCCGCGCGTGGG